AATGAAGCTCTTAGCTCTGAACCGGATGATACCGTTCTTGAAACTGAGAACCTTTCCAAGCTTGGCAGGATCACCAGGACATGGAACTGTCCCCCCTGATTCTTCAATCCATACGCCTCCTCCTGAAAATCCACCCAAGGAGATGACGGCATTGTCAAGATTGGCATTGTGGAAATCTTTGTGGGGACCTGTTGTAACATTGCTGAAAATGCAAAGAGTCGTGTATCCAAAGCCAGGAAGCTTCGAGCAAGCAAACTTGTTGAGAGCTTTGGTAACCAAGGGAAACTGATGGGCTGAAGTCCTAAGTCCAAGAGTTCCACCCAACCGATAAAGTCCAGTCGTAAACGACTCCCCATGATCACCTCTAGCAGCAGGTTCCTTGTCAACCAGACCAAACAATTTGCGAACCGCACGACAGCTGATGTTGCCGCCAGAACTCAATATCTGCCGGGCTCGGATTTCAGCAGGGTGGTTCTCTGAGCATCGGATGGCGCTTGGGATAGCAGCCGGACCCTCGCTCTCAAGCCCCCCTGAAAGGTCACTCACTGGGTTTGGTGCCCCGTGACTTTTCATACCGGCGGTGGTCCCCAACCTGGTGTGCAGACCCTTGGCTTCGAGTCAGACAACATGGATTTTGCAAATCATTACATGTTGGACAGTTGTCCTTTGGTCAGAAGCACGGGGATTGATGTTGATTCTGGGAAGGCCTTCATCTGGCTACCCGGTAGTTTACCTTTCTTCGTCAGCGATGTTTCGCAACTCGTTGTTCAATGCCCTGAGAAGTATCGACATTACGCAACTCGCGTAGAAGAGCATGTTCCGATTTCACCAGTCAGGTGAGGTTTACTCACGGGAGACTTAGACGCACCTAAGAACCGGTCAAAGGCGTCACGAGGAATCCCTTGGTCAAACAAAGCTTTAGCCGAACCTAAGTGGCGACCAGCGACGGCATAAGACGGACCAGTGGAGATGACAGGAGTACACAAGCTAGAGGCAGCAACAAGCGCAACGACAGCTTTCGCTACTGCTCCAGGTTTGCTCTTGGCTCCATCTTTGGCTTTAGCTTTCGGCTTCGGCGCAGCAGCCTTGTGACTGAACTTACAATTATCCCCATGAATGCAACCCGACGGCATCTGGAAGAAAATGCAAGGAGTCTTGGCTTTCTCGGCATCAGTCATAGCCTTCGCCTTAGCCTTTGATTTTGCTTTTGCATTTGCGTTGGGCGCTGGGGCACCAGGAGCGATTGGAGGAGGAGGAGGAGGAGGAGGAGGAGGAGGAGGAGGAGGAGGAGGAGGAGGAGGAGGAGGAGGAGGAGGAGGAGGATCAGCCTTGGATGGGGCACCTTTGGGAGGTGCAGCAGGAGGCGTAGCTTTCGTCTTTCCATTCCCTCCATCTACAGCAGGGACAGCTTTCGTTTTCGGAGCGGGTGTGGCCGACTGCAGAGACTTCAACACAGATTGCGCATTGGAATCTTCACGATCCTGAACAATCAGATCCTGAATCTTATCCCACAAGTAAGACCACTCACGCCTATACGAAGTCGCCCCAGACTCTCTGATGTCCTCAATAACGCGCTCAAACTTGCGAATGTGTTTCACCCGATGGAAGAGCCATTCTCCGGTGAGGCGATCATCAGGTCTTTGCCCGACCGGAATAGCACTGAGAACAAGGCGAATACGATTCACAAAGTCCCTCAAGTCCTTTATGGAACTCCCGCCAAGCCCGATCTGAAACAATGTTGATGCAGTCAGAACAGAACCTCTTACCCGATCGAGGTCGTAATGCCTTGCGATGATAGACGGCATCACTCGACCTTTGGGCGACTGTCCAAGTTGACTACACCTTTCAATGTAAGCGGTGATGTCTTGTTCAAATTCGGAGGACTGCTTCAGCACACGCCCTGACGACAGCTCACCAGCTATCCATGCATCAAGACGAGGAAGGAGCTCCGAATCTTGCAAGTCAGCTCTCTCAGCATCAAAACCCCTAGAAACCCAAGCCAGCACAAGACCTTGACCTGAAGTCTCAAGCTTGGACAACTGAACTTTGAAACCGTTCTTCCAAGTTCGGAAACTTGCCGCATCTGAAGGAAAAGGTTGAAGCTTGAGATGCAAGAGAGCCCTTTGATCAACAATGTCCTTTTCCCGAAGCTCTTTGACAGCTTCTTGCTCTTCAACTTCATCATCTTCATTAGTCTCAGCAGTACCCGTAGCATTTTGACCGACCTGTTGGACTAACTGTTGAACCACCTCAATCAGTTGATCCACGCGAGGGTCTGACATAGGTGACGTAGGTTGAAGGGGAACAGGACATGAAGATACGGGCGGAGGCACAAAGGTACCCGAGTACAGCAGTCGCTCAGTGGGAGGGTCGGAAGCTTCGAGGTGAGTCCATGACGCTTCACTAACACCAGACCCAGAACCGACGGGCGGAGCATGAGCCTTTGGAGGCTTAGGAGGGGATCCGGAGGTCGAGGCGCATGGAGCAGCCGAACGAAGCCTCTGAATCTCTCTCTCCTTGATCTGACACTCTACACGGATTTGATTAAGCTGAAAAGTCAACGCATTCAATCTGCCTTTGCCTCCGCAAGTTGGCGTTCAACGAATTGACCGTACTCAAACAATTCCCCACATCTGATCTCCGAGAGCCTAAGTTGTTCCCGAAGCTGATCAACCGCGGACCCTGCTTCGTTCAACACGTCCCTGACTTGGCCTTGTACCTCATTGATAGAAGCCTGGTGTAGCAGCTCCGCCTGGGCGGCGACTCGATTGGCAGCTTCACCAGCAGCAAATTGCTGAGCGGCGAGGACTTGCTGAGGTGTTGCTCCTATGTTGAGCATTTGATTGTGAACAACAGCAGGAACATTGGAACCGTCAATGGGAACATTGCTAGCCGGGTAAGGAGCTGAAGCTTGCGGGGAGTTCGGGCCAAAGCTCTTCTGTTGGCAGGAGGAGAGCGTTCACGCTCGGCTAAAGCAGAGCTACTCTCTGAGCCCCCAGAGGCACAGGAGGAGTCCCTCATACCTGGAACAGCAGCTGCCGAAGCACTTGAAATGTCAAGCAGCGAGCTTGGATCAGTTGGGGTTGATTGAGATTGTGACATGATTGCAGGGTAGGGCACCGAGCACCTTTTGCTCGAAGTGCAAGGCACAACGTGCGGTGATGCAGTTCGGGCCGTGGCGCCGTAGCAGCCTTACGAACCCAGGCAAGGAACCCTGTAATCCCGTCTGTGGCGCAGAAGCAGCCGATCAGACGACCCTGAACTCAGAATGATACTACCGCGACCTGATCCACAGAGCAGAGGCGCTAGTAGCAGCCAAACTAACTCTGGGATTGAAAAGGCACACAGACTCTCGACTACGCAATCTGGTCGTAGTCAAAGGAGTCGGGGTAGTTCCGAATGACCCAGTTGCGGATGTAATCGTAGGTATCCGCGACAAAATCAAACGATGCTCCGTGACAGGCGGGGAAGGCCTCCTGTGAGAACGCTTCCACAAGGAACGGATAAACACTCCCTCAATCTTCTCCAGCCCAGATAGTGCATCGAGAATTTCTGGGCTATCGTCACAATGAAGGATGGGAAGCCTCCACTTAGCCGGAAGATTGGGAGGAGGTGCTCCGATACGTTCCAGAATATCGCCCTTGCCACCACGACGAGTCGGATGTCGAGTTAGCACAATGAAAGCGATGCAATTGGAACCCAATTCCCCGCTGAGGCTCTCGACAGTGTTCGCGACCGTCCTGATCACGTGACGCTTAGTGTCAGCTGCGTGGCAGTAGCTCGTCACGATACACAAGCCGTTGGTCTGTGAAAGAAATTTCGTCAAACGGCTCAAATACCTTTGGACTTCCTCCGGGCAAGTAGGATAATCTTGCTTCCAGGCCACGTGCTGCCCTCTGCGATCGAGGTCGAGGACGTTATGAAAATCCAGACTCACCACGTAATGGTAACGTGCCACAGATTGGCGGGTGAGGCCTACCAAGCGGCACGTATCCGGATCCACAGTCTCCACCTCGGTTCCCCTGAAATCAATCCGAATAATCAATCTCAGGAAGCCACTCCTCTTCCGCCTCAATTGGCCGCTTCGCCGGTGGTTCCTTGGGTAACGATGAGGACGATGAAGATGGAGCTGAAGGTTCTGCTGCCTTCGGGACTTGAGGCCTGGCCTTCTTCTTACTTCCTGTGCCTTCGGAGGAGCCTTTGGAGGGGTAACAGGCGCTGCAACTGGAGCCGGATCCTTAGGCAGAGTCTTAGGACCAGGAATATCCAACCGTCTCGCTGAAGGTCTCGGTGGCAGAGGCGGTGCCGCCCTTTCTGAAGCCAAGCGATAAAAACCCGGGATCTCTCCAGTCGCTTGAGGGATCAACGGCTGATCACTCACTGGCCCAGAAAGCTTTGCTCTCACCTTAGGAGTAGGAGCTAATCGTAACCCTGTCGAAGAAGACGATGGCGATGGAGTAATAGGGGTAGCTGAAGGCGCGGAGGCGTCTCTGGAGCTGTATCCTCCGGAAACGGGTTATTTACAGGCTCCTTCACCCCGTATGCCCGGACTGATCCGTCAGGCCTGCGAAACGGAATATCCAGGTAAGTAAGATAAAGGCCGGGATTGCTGGACTCCGACTCTGCAACAACAAAGCGTTGCCACGCTTCTCGCTTTCTGCGTGCACTCTTCCCCGCACGGGAGCCTCTCTTCTGCTCCTTAGGCGGTGGGCGAGGCAAACGTTCCGGATCCCTGTCAGGGTTTACATCCATTGCCAAGCGCACAGAATCACTACTTTACAATCAGAAGCGATTACGGCTGATAACCAGTTATTCCGACCCCAAACGAAAACACAGCTAAGTGAGGGTAAGGAACGAAGGAGAAGGGAAGGGAAACCAACAAGGGAGCCCCAACCCTGAACGCAGCACAGACCTCAGGTACGTGCTTTTTCATGCTTGAGCCAAACGTCGAAGGTCGTTGGCATCGTTCTACATAATATCAGATAGCTTTAAATGGAGGATCATCGAGATTCTTCAACTACACACGCACGTCTTCCACCGCACCAAACTGTGTCGAAGTTTCCGGGGCCACGGCTTTCTAGCATTCCAAAACGCTCACCCCTCTTCATGACCTCAGCACTCTCCAAACTCGAGATTTTTGCGGATTCTCGTGCGGATAAGCAGAAAAAATCAAGGGCACAGGCATTCTCGAAGCAAATGCCGCATTCGGTATATTCTTCCACTGGCCTGTCAGGACAAGAAGCACAAGAAGCTCAAGAGCTGAGTTGTTCTCGCTGCTCTCGCGCCTCCGGCGGGGCCGTTCCACTCGAGCCGTCGCTGTCGCCCCATGTCCCATGTCCGGGCCACGGCTGTGGCCGTTCGCCACTGGAGCCGGCGGAACCGCCGGCGCCGGCTCCGGCATCGTGTGGAGGTTGCGACAAGCGTCACCTTGGAGCGCGAGCGACCGCTGCTCTCGCAGGGCCTGGGGCCATCTGATTTTGAGTTGTCAACAAGCTTCACCGCGATAAGGCGGGAGCCAAAGGCACATCGCCCCTGCAGAAAGTGGCGGCAAATTGTGGCGCCTGGCGTGGCGTGGCGGACAGGTAGCGGGGAATGTGTAGCGCGAGCCATACAACCGACCTCTCTCATGACATGTCCCCCCCTGTCCACCCTGCGCCTGCTGCATGAGCCTGGAGAGGGCTCGGGCTCTTCAGAGAAACATTAGATTAGAAGAGAGATGCCGATGACCACATGCAGTGTCTCAAGCGCTGCCGCCGCTGCGCACATCGCTGCCCCTCCCGTCCTGGCCATTGGTTCCATTCGCGAAGGCCTTCGCGCCACCCCTCGGAGGAATATCCGCCAGCCATGAACCCTCAACCCTCCGAGACTCGCTCCAGGGGCGGCACGGAAACCCCTTTTTGTCGCCGTCCTGATGCTCAAAAAGGCATGCATTCAGTAAGGTATAGCAAAGCAACGAACGGGCGATCCCGAGTCGGAATGATCGAATTCGCAAGGAAGCAAGAATCAGCAAACTTATGCTGGTCATTCTACTCTGCTGCTGGCCTTGTAGCCTCCGTTGGTGATGTTGCTGCCGTTCGGGTCGCCATGCCACATGTTGCAAGCATTGCCGAAAGCGCAGCGTCCCTGTGGCGGCTTGCGATGCTCGACGCCGAAAGCCCATGGTCACATGTTGCACGAAAGCCACATTAAAAAGAGAGCAAAACAGTGGGACGAGAGCGAGTGAACATCTCTGCGTCTCTGCCTGCGCATAGAACTTGCACAGCTGCGGCATGTGGCGCCTGGCGCCTCCGGTCGCAGACTCGATGCAGAAGCCGGAAAGCCTGCACCCCGTCCCGTCCCCCTCCTGGTCCTGAAGAGGTGCAGTAGCCAACTCCGTTTCTCGGCCGTTCTTGGCAAGAAGGGGTAGAGGACTGTCACTTCAAACATAGGGCTGTCCCCGAATGTGCAGTCACTAGTGTCTGCACTTCGCCGTGCGAGCGCGGTTGCTAGGTTGTCATCTTCGTGGAGCTTCGTATTGACATGCCGCCACTTGGGCTGCTTGGGCCAGCTGATAACACGGTCGGTGACATCAAGCTGCGCCAGAGGAATACGAGTAGGAAGTCTAATGTTGTGATTTGAATCCCCATGCACACCTTGCAGTGTTTGTTGAATTGAAGGGCTATCAATGTCCGAGGCGCCTTCCCCACAGCTTCAAAGCTAGTTTCTCAAATTCTCGCCGGCTCAGAAGTGAACTCATGCTCTTCGGGACTATGCAGATTTTCTTCCAGCAGCTCGATCTCGGAATGCACGGAGCTCTGCCCCGGGAAAACGCTTAAACAGCTAGATCCCTGTAACCCGACACTCCTGGCGGCTCGTGGTAATGCAGCTCGAATCAACGACCTCGCAAAACGCTACATCCGGTTCCAGACTCTACCTGGAGATATAGCCAGCCGACAACATGAGCGCGTGGTATTCAAACGCGACTCTGGAAAAAGGTGTGTAATGTTTCTACGCTTCTCAACCTAGCCGGCCTAGGATTCTGGTTGCAGTGTCGGCACTTGCAGGGGTGACCGTGGTGAGAGGGCCAGACTCAGAGGCGGCTGCTCAGGCAAGTGCTCCTGACGAAAATCTAGGGAGCAAAGCACCTGAGGCCTCCAAATTGCGATACCACAACAGCAACGACATGCAACGACCCAGGCATGTAGTGATCGGGCGCGGAGCGACACGTCGCAACTGTAAGCAAAACGGAAGCAAGCCTTCCCATGCCCCCAGCATCACCGCTTACTCTATGCAGGTTATGGCAGTTGGGAGAAACCAAACCGTCCAGCCAGCCTCGGTAGTGGTAGGCACCGGTGTAGCAGTTACTGCAAGTCTCGTAGGAGGCCTTGAAATCCGTCGCGACCGTTTGTCAACCCACGACACAGAGGACACCTCAGACAACGGCCACATCCTCGCGGATGTCCGTACAGTGATGGGCCCCGGCACCACCCCGCCTTGGCACAACCCTTCTCGGAGTCAAGCGAAATCGAGACACTACGAGTCCCAGTTGCAGTGCGCGGCCATCAAGGTAGTGCATCGGTTCTCCGCACGAGATGCACGGAACCGTTACGGCAATCTCCTGCGCTTGGCCCTGTCAGTTTGCAAAAAGCTCGGACCCTCCCAAGCACAGACAAAGCCTGCCTCGCGTGTCCGCACACTTGCAAGCGCCTGGGAGACACAGCGGGGCTTTGCCGGACTGTGTATAAGCCTCTGAGCACATCTCTGCTTTGCAGGGGCAAGGCGTTGTCCGCATTCCGTCGCATTACCGAGCGGCTCATGGCCCAGATCTGCCAAAGAAAGGACCGAGCGTTCTCACGCAACAGGGCCCACAGGACCTCGCCGCGCGAATTGGTGCCACCGAAGCCGAAGGAGTTCAGGCCACCTTTTCAGAAGAGCATCGGCTTGAGACAACGCGCCGCTGCCAGGCTATGCAGGCTTGTGCCAGCAGGCTTGCTATGCAGGCTATGCAATGCTGGGGCTCCCAGCTGATGATGCCACGCTCATCGGCACTCAGATTGCAGCACTCCACAGGGAAAAGGCCGGGAAAACCTGCATCGTCGATGTGTGCCTGGGCTTCCAAAGCAGCAACCACCAAAGAACAGCTGCGATGGGAGCTTTGAGTCGCGCCCAATACTATCGACTGTTCTTGCTCAGAAAAGGTGTGCCGTCAGTCCGATAGCCAAGGTGTTCAGCACAATAGATACGGCATCCTGCATCAACGGGCACCATGACCTCATGACTGGTGAAAGAAGCAGACTCCTCGACAACGCTAGCGGGCTACAGCCCTGCTCGTGCAAACGTAGCGCACAGGCCTTTTTCCATGCAAGAGCCCAAACCCTGCAGTCCGGCAGCGAAAACTCATGAGGAACATGACGCCGCTCCTTCTGACATCACCATAAAACTCTTGAGTCACTTGAGGCTTTGCATGAGCCTTTCGTCTTCCACTTTCGGCTCCCCGACTTCGTCGAGGAACCAGGGAAGTTGCTCGGTTGCTCTGCTCAGCAAAGGAACTCAGAGCAGACAGGAATCACTCTACTCGCTCGGCAAGCTTCTTCTGAAGAGAGGCTTTGTGTAGCTTTTTTCCGGCAGTAAACGACTCGTCGTGTACGATACTCCAACGCTGAAGGTTCACGAAGAAAATCAAAAGATCCTTCTTGCTTCCGGCCTTTGTCAGACCGTCGGGGAGCGTGGCCAAACCCATTGACCCACCTCAAGTCAGTCTTGAGCTTGCAGGCTTGCTGAACGGAAATCACCGGTTCATATCCAGCACGGGAGGATCTGAGCCCATGAAGGGAACTAAGGCTCCGTGTCATGGCATCAAACACGTCACGGCTGTCCATCATGAGCCCTCCGGTCGTGTTCGAGGCGAGGTCTTCTTCAAAGCGGCTCCTCACCACCTGTCCTCCATGCATCTCGTACCAGCTGGCCCGCAGCAGCAAAACTGTGACTTCTCCCACCGTGATGGCTTGAACCTCAGAGCCGTTACTTCCGAGGCTCTCACGTGGAGCCTTGGTTGATCTCCAGGACACCAGCGCCACATGCTCTTCCTGTCCATCAAGGATGCTCGCCGGCACATAGCCGGCAACGTACCCCATAGTACTGGACTTCTTCGGCCTGCTGCCCTGAAAGGCATCCGACCAGACCACAGTCGCGATGCTCCTCCAGTCCAAGTTCCAGCGAAAGAACCACAGGTGCTGGGAAGCCTGATGCTTCACTTCTCGGACCAGTTTGTTGGCTGAGTTGGCCGTGTCCACGGTGCCTCCAGGGACAGAAGACAGCAACAGGGATACTTCAGTTTGATGGTGCGGTCCGGTCTGCGAAGCCTTCCAGGAGAGCGTCCCGAGGACTGCGCGTAGCTGAGAGATCTCTCTCGCCGTGAGTGCACTGCTTGGCGCGATCCCGAGTGAAAGGGATTTACTCAAGCCACTTGTTCACGTAGTCCTCCTGGTCGACGTAGATCCCGTCCTCCTTCTGCTGCAGATGACATCCGGCGAATTCAATGTCTGTGTGCCCACTTACCAAACTTGAACTTCGCCTGGAGCTCTCGCTTGGCTTTTTCATACTTCGGAATGGTCCTGCTGCCCACAGACAGTTCAAGAAAGTCGTCCACATGAATGCCTGCCAAAGCTGTCAGCTCATGAGTGATGTCGTCGTACAGACAAAACAGACATCGGTGCACTTTGGTCTGGGTCCAGTCACTCTGAAGCAAGGCATCCACCACGGACTCATGCCACTTCCGGGGAGCATGAAGGAGGCCATAGAAAGCTTTGGTGAGCTTGAGCACCATCTCCTCGCCGAAGATGAGTCTGGTAAGTAGCCCCCTACCATAGGCGTCGATAGACCCCTAAACAGACCCTTATGCTTTGGGAAATCCTATAGGCCCCTATGCGACCGATCCCTCCCACGGCCACGAACCCCTACAGACAGACCCTATGCATTTTCCGATAGGCCCCTATTGATAGACCCCTATGGGATTCGCATAGACCCCTATGGATAGACCCTGTCTGTACCTGCGATAGCCCCCTAGGCCCTATCGCTTTTCCATAGGCCCCTATCCCAGTCCCGATAGGCTCCCTGTCCGACAACATAGGACCCTATGCATTGCGTGTCTTGCTCGAAACAGTGTCGACTTGCATCGTAGCCACATCTTCACTATAGTCTTGTTGCCTTCGATATCAGCGACTGTGCAAAACGACGTTCTGTGCCGTTGCTGCGAGGTTGTCGCAGTCTCCGAGCTCTAAACCCCGAGACTCCAACCGACGCCACTTATTTATCTAAGAAATCTATTTCCGTAGCTATCCAGGTGCAGCATGCGCCGGAAATTTTCAGCACAATATACACCTAGGGGCGGATGTCTAGACCCCTATCGAAAAATGATGGGGGTCTATGCGCGTTATAGGGGTCTAGAGTCTATCCCCTAGCCATAGACCCCTCTGTATTGGCCCCTGTCCCACCTGTACACACCCCTCATAGGTACCTATCCGATTCCCCATAGACCCCTCTCAATAGGGCTCCATGGCCTCGTGGGTTGGCCACCGGGAATAGGGGCCTATGCCTTTTCCGATCGACCCCTTGCCTTTTCGACTTTCCGAACTCTTACTCGACTCGCCTTCAACTCCGAACAGGGCTGCCAGCTCCGATGGTGCCCACACGAGCTCCTCATCTGTCCACAGTCTGGAGAAAGGCCGAGGTGACATCTCCAGACTCCAGCTTCAAGCCCTTGTTTGCTGCCGCTGCCAACAGAGCATACCGGCCTGTTCTGCTCAGCGTCGTTGCAGCCCTTTGGACAGAAGTGAGGTTGCCTTGTTGAAAACCGAGAACAACCAGTCTAGCTTTCGGAGCTTTTGGAGGTCCTTCTCCGTCACGTCGATGATGCACTTCACTGCCAACAAGTTCTCACGAACTCCGCGGCGGGGCAGATCGGACGCTGCCTTCCGCTTGCGCTCTTTCGGGAGCGCCGGCTCTGGAACCAGCTCCTCCTCAGAGGAGCTGCTTGAGCTGCTGCTGCTCTCGTAGGCAGCTGAACGAACGGCTTCCTCTTCAAGCTCCGCAGGCAGAGGAACTCTCGCGGCAGGCTGTCCAGGGGTGCCGGGAACGGCACCAGGCAACACTCGAAGAAGACGGCTCCTGCTCGATCGTCTGAGCAGCCTCTTGCCTCTGCCTCTGCCTCCTTTCGTTCAGCCGCCTGGCCCTTAAGCTCAAAGTGGGTCTTGCCTGTCCAGCATTCCAGAAGTCCGCGGTTTGGCTTGGCCTCAAACCTGTAGTCATAGAGTCATAGTAGTCATTGTAGTCGTCCTCGATCAGCTGCTGCTTGGTGGAGGCAGAGGTCTGCACAAAGGTGCGTCGCTTCCCGAATCTTCACCGGGCACTGGGCACTCCTGGACTTTGTCCGGAGTGGGCGAGCTCCGTGGATCCTGAGAAGAGTGTCTCCACACCTCTCCCACTTCCGCGCACGGCCTTCCTCGCTCGGGGCACGAACCTCAGCTGGCGTCAGATCCTCTTCCAGCTGTTGTCCCGTCTAGCCCCGAAAAAGAGTCGCTATGGCCATGTGATTCTTGTGGCGGACATCCCCTGAGTAGCGTGCACCAGCTCCTCTCTTTTGGAGCAAGGCCGCACCTGGTTTGTCTCCAACCAGAGCGTTGAACACTCCTGCAGCATCACACGAAGAGGGCCAGTCCATCCAGCTTTGCCTTGACGGATCCGCTGCCTCCACAGCATCACCAGGCCACCTGGTACTGCTCGGCCTTCCGCCGCGCGGCGTTGTTGAGCCGCGAAAGCTTCTGGGCAACGTCGGCCTTAATGAAGGCGGTCCGTGCTTGCTTTCGAAGAGCTAGCATCCTGGCAAAAGCCCGTTTCGGATTGATCCCTTCAGGCACTGACTCCACTTCGTCCTTTTGTGATCCGCGGGACCACTGAAAACGAAAGAGACCGCTTGAGTTCACCGCCGAGTTCCAGCCGTGCATCGCCAATGCAAAGATTTCCTGAATGGAGAAATCCAGGCCTTCCTCTTCCAATCGAGCCGATGTTCGCTTTAGCACCTGTATCTTGCGCTCCTCCAGTCCAAGGAGCCAGCGAGCCGCCTCCGGCGCTACAAGGAGGCCGACTCCAGATCGAGAGCAGAAGAGTCCGAAAATTCTGTGCTCGAGAAGTAGGGAGCACAATCAGCAATAATCCACACAGATCACGGCCATCCATGGACGGCTCCCAATTCTCGGCCGCCGGATAATCTTTCAGGTGCTTGACCACGCAGCGACGACTGGCACGATCTTGCATGAGAAGCAACTTTGCTTTCATTCGTGAACCGTCTCCCTTAAAGTCATACGAGTCATACTCAAAGACATCCATACCGAGGTATTCCCAAAGCGTAGGACGTAGGAGGTTCTATGCGCCGGGACTCGTCACAATCAGCACAACGAAGTTCTTTAGCTACAGGTCCGAAGCCCACCGAGCCGCATCTCTCTTTTCCAGCAGACGAGCTAGGGCCGGGACTCTCCATGCTGCTGTGACCTCCGCTTGTAGTTCTGGTCCGCTGTGTAGTTCTGGTCCGCTGCCGCTGTGGTGTTGTAGTCTGGTTCGCTGCGGTGTCGTAGTTCTGGTTGGCCGGCATCACGCCCGCCATGTAGGTCTCCACATCGTCGCTCAAAGACCCATTTTGGCGTCGCAGATCCTAGCCCACAGCCTCCACAATGTCCCGGATCATGCCCTTGGGATCGCCGGAGCCTTCATCTCCTTCTCGCCATGATGGCGATGTCCCGGACAGGCTCGCCGCCCAAGCTCGTAGTAGACCTGCTTTGCTTGACATTCGTCAGGATTTCCCACCGCACAGGCGACGGAGCCGGCCCATTCTCATATAATAGCAACAATGGTCCACGACGCACCCAAACAGGTCCACATATAGTTGAGCATCAGCACGCCACATCCAAGCGAAGAGCTTGCCATTCTCGATCCGGGTGGCCACTATCACAGCCACCTTCTCAGCAGCCACTAGATCTCTTCGCCGCACTCGCTCAACGTTTCGCCACTGGCCTGGCGCCATGTTCTTTTCCATCCACAGCAGCCGCCGGTGGGGAAGGTTGACCCACAGCACTTTCGGGTCCACGGCGGCTACCTGCGCGTTGATCTTCTCGATGTGCTCGAGGTTGTCCATGCGGTAGCCCTGGGTCGTGGATGCGGTCTCGCAAAGAAGGCCTTCATCACGAGAGGTCGGTGACAAAATGTCGCTCCCAAATTCAAACACGTCCATTGAATTCGAAGTCAACGCCAGCAACGACGTCGCTACACAAAGGGCACTGGCCACGAGCCTCCGCGCTTGCGGCAGGCCTGAGTGATACAGGCGGGCCATCGTAGCGTACACACACACACACACAGATTGTCTCGAAAAACTCCTGGCGTGGCCACTGCGACATGCTTTCAGAGCTCCGAGTTGTCGTCGCCGGCGCCCTCCGCAGGCGGTGCTCCGGACACTCCACTCATGTTCTCCCATCCGTCCGAGCCCGCGTGCTCCATCTCTTCGCGAACTCGGCCACGAAGCTCCGCTTGCTGTCCAGGTACATGATCTGCTGGATCCGCGAGCTCGATCTCCTTGTCGTCGAGCTTGCCGCGAAGCTCCAGGTTGGTCTTCGTGATCGTTGTCTCCTTGCAATCCTTGGCGTAGCCCTTAGTGGCGGGCCGCCGTCGAAGGTACCGGCTTCACGGTTGAAACCGCCTTTCAAGGCTCTCGCACGTTGGAGGCATCATCTCCTTACGATCTGGGCCCATGGCCTTATTCAAGGGGATGGCCCGACCGGTCATGAAGGATCGGCTCTGCACTTCCATGATCTTGCCCTTCACCACCGTTTCGTTCACCATGTCGATCTCCCCATTGAGGTACATCTCCTCCAACTTGTACATGGCCAGGCGGGTCACCTCAATGGTTGGTCCAGCTGTCCTCCTCCCGTGGTCGCGAGTTGGTGGATACGACAGCCTCACACGGCAACGGGTGCAGTCTTTCCAGCGACCCCATTGGTTGCCTCGCTCGGCTCCCTCCTTGTCAGTTCCCTTGCACTGCCAGCCCGTCAAGTGAGGGTCCTCCAAAAAAAGCTGCCTGCTTCTCCATGCGGAACCGGATCTTGGAGGCGAAGGCGATGGTCTGCTAAGCGAAGCCTACGTGACCTGACGCGATGGGGCAGAAAACCAACAGACTCTTCACATCACTGGCACACGCGGCATGATCATGTGATGCACGGCGTTCCTGACAACACTCATGTACATGCTGGCGCTGGGCAGGTTTCTGATCACGAAGGTCATGAGAAAATCGTGGAAAAACACAAAGCGGCTCACACTCTTCACTGACATGTTCTACATGTTGCACATTGCAACCGACTTCACTGACCACGGGCAAAGGAACTGCACTCCCCGAGCTCAGTGTTCCTTCTTTTGTCGGGACAGTCTCGGCATCGATCGCAGGGTCGGTGCCCTGGTCCGGCAGAGAACCGCAATGGCCCGGCGAATCGTTGGCGAAGAAGCTTCCGCAATCTCCATGAGCAGGGGGTCGGGTGACCCTTGCCTTTCCCTTTTGGCTTGCCCTTCGCCTTGCCCGTGCGAGGATAGCCGGCCAAGCTTTTCGGATTGCGGCTTCTTGGCCACAGATCATGCAGCGCATCACGCCCGTATGTTTGGGAGCCTGGCCCTGGCCGCCCCAGGTTAGTCTCCTCTGGCAGCCCTGACAACGGCAGCACGGGCTTCACACAAAGTCCCATTGCCTCCGCCAAAGCCACGGCCTCCGACTCCTGCTTCAATCTTTCCGTCTCCTCGATCAGGCGAAGGCTCGCCTTCTTCCCAGGGTCGCCCCGAAGCTCGTCACTGAAGAAGTCATGGGCCGGCTCTTTTGCAAAGTAGAAGTACGGCCTCACAGTTGGCGATCTCGGCTTTGCCCGTCGGGACGACGGCGAGGCCTTCTTGAAGTCGGGGAGCTCGGCGAACTCGTCCTCGGCGTTCTCCTCGGCATCAGCCGTCTCAGAGGCCGCCGTAGGCCCGGGCGGCACGTTGCCCGTAGAACCTGTCGACTGCCCTGCCAGGTCCCTGGATCGACGAAGCGAAAGCTGAAGCTCAGAGAAGCCTTCCTCCTGGCGCACCAGAAACTCAAGGATGCTCTCGTTCTCGCGCCCGCCTCAAGTTGTTCCACCGCTCAAGCTTCTGGAAGCTATCGAGGATGGGCAGCGTTTGCAGAGGGGATTGGCGAAGCTTCTCCAGGAGGAGGTCGAGACCCTGCTTGTTGAAGAACTGCTCCGGGTCGATGTTTCACCCAGTCAGCCGGCCCCAGACCTTGCGGCAGCGCCTGCCTGCTGAGCTTCTCTCAAGGTGTGGCTATACCATCTGCAAGCCGTCTCGTAGCTCGCGAAGCTAGACGGGTCACCGCTCCATGCGGGAATGTCCGTCCCCTGTCGCCCTGGTACACCTGGGAGGCCATCGGAGCTCAGCAAAGCGGAACCAGCCGTTCCGCTGCAATGAAACAGACTCCTCGACAACGCTAGCGGGCTACAGCCCTGCTCGCGCAAACGTAGCGCATAGGCCTTTATCCTTGCAAGAGCCGGCAGTCACAGGTCGAACGTGTTCAAAGATATGCATGCGAAACCTCATGAGGAACATGACACCGCTCCTTCTGACAACTGGCGATGCCGGTAGCAGCCAGTAGCAGCAGCAATCATGAATTATCTACAGCATTATCTGGCCATATCATTATCCAACATCCATTGGTCGTGATTGTGAAAAGCAGAGGAAGGGTCATGACGGTACTTAGTGCAATATCAGCAGCAATCGTACATAGGACGGGCTGCATTCAGAAGCTGAAGATGACACTGGGCAGGCGCTGTCCAATGACGGATTGTGTTGATCTTGGTGCAGCGCAGTCCAACGCAGCGAAGCTTGGGCGACAACAGGAGCGGAAAGCCCCCAATCCCTAAGCCCCCGGCGATCTTCATGATCCCACAGTTCCCTGCGGAGGCCTGGTCTGGGTCTTTCTCTTTCCCACTTCTCTGAGTCGATGGGCTCACCACAACTGCCAAGCCTCGGAGTGACCCTGGTGGGACTTCCCCGTGGTGACGATGATTGGCGTCTCCCGATTCCTCCAAAAGACTGCCCGGACAGAACCCACCTCGATCCTCAGATGCTCGCAGATCAATGACAATGACTCGTGACGAAGAGACGAGTTTGAGCCATGCGTCGGATCTCCCAGGGCCGTGCCAGTGCCATGGTTCTCTGTGCACACCACTTCTTGAGGCAGCAAACCTACAAAACAGACATCGACGCTGTGGGTCACCGCTCGCCGCCGCTAGCCCTCGCTTCGCCTCCCAGGCGCAAGGAGGAGCGCACGCAGAGCTGCTGCGAGGGGCCGTTCGGTGCCGTCAGGCTCGCACTGCGCCCATCCTGAGACTCGACAGGCCGAGCGCCTCGCGAAGAGCCGAGGCCCCGGCCCCGGCAGCCCCGGCAGCCCCGGCAGCCTGGCCTGGTTCACAAAACCTGACAAGAGCTTCCCACTTCAACTTCCTCTATCTGCCTCTATATCTCCCTCTTTCGCTCTTTTTCGAATCTAAGCCGGACCTGTAACGAAGAGGCCCAGCCGTTCTTCCACGTCCTTGGCCTCGTCAGGAACCTGCAAGGCACCTTTCCCGTCCTCCCCGTTCTCCCCGTCCCCGTGAACTTCGCCCCTGTACTCGGGCCTTCCAGACCATGGAGGTGATGGCCTCGCCGCGCGCGTAGCCGTTGGCCGAGTTGTCGAAGGACCTAAAACTGGAGTGCCCATCCGCACCAGAAAGCGCGCCCGGGCCGCAGCCGAGAGCCCGGCTTGCAGCGGCCGGTCCTTCCCAACATACCGGCGCCGCTCAAGCCGACGAAGGTCGTGTGCCTGGCACTCCGAAGAGCACCAGGCGAGACGACCCCTGAAGCTGAGGCTGGGCCCCCAGCGCCAAGCAGGTCATGTGGGAGGCGGTGATGGCCTCCTTCACGGAAGGGTCCTCAGTCTGCAGGGGAGCAGCTAGAAGCCAAGCTTGAGCCTGCTAGCGTGCCGGGGCTTTCACGGGCCTCTTGCGCAAGTAGTTGAAAAGCAGATTGGAGCTCACCAGCGAGGACGAACAGGCCGTGTCGACCTCAGCTCCGTTCCTGGCATATGATGCATATTCACAACCGTGTGGCGTTTATCCGAGCTCGCTGCGCACAGCGTTGGGCCTCTCAAATCGAGATGGTACGCGATTAATCCTGGCACGATTTCTGTCGAAGTCTTTTAGTCAGAGTCTCAAGGCTTCTTCTGGCCGGAAACAACATTGCAAGAACATGTAAAGCAAAACACTATATCAAATACAGAAACATCCGATTTCATGCGACTTAGTTCTTGTGGCTTCCGGTGCTTTGGCAATAGTTGCGATAGAACTGAGTCGGTTTCTCGATTTGCGTGTTTTGGCATCTTCTTGGCTTCGTCGTTGGCTTTTGCCTTTGAAGTTTGTTTGTCTGCTTTTGTAGTGTCTGGCACATGTGCTGTATGTTTTTGCCTTTTCGGTAGGTGCTATGACCTGGTGCTGTTTTGAGTGGTCTGTAGTGTTGGGTAATTGGGCATGTTTTCATGTCTGGAAGGTTGCTGGCATTTTCTTGCATTCTTGCAAGGTCAATAGAATGTTTTGATATCTGTTTGTATCTTTCTGTGTTTTCTGACTGTAAACCAACTCAGAAAGATGCCCTGTCTAGAATCACCCAAGGGATTTTTCTTGACAAAGGGTGATCGGGTCTGTGCTGCAACGGCTCCTGCCGATGGCAGATTCAACTGCCGCCCGTTGGCCCAGGTGTCAGGATCCTCCAAGTACCTCGCGCACCCGGACCAGAATTGCTGTGCCTGCTGAAGCGAGCATTCGTGGCAAAAAGCCTGAAGAAGGGATCAAACTCGTGGCCGATGTCGGCGACATAGAGTGGCAAATTCTGACCTGCCGAGGTGGCAAAAGGCAAAAGCCCGAGCGCCTCCCTCAGCCTCATAGTGGTGCCCCGCCTTTGACGGATTGCTTTGTGTAGCCCCGGTGTTGCAGTGACTCAAAGCACTTCTCAAGACCTTCAGTGGACTGCAGAAACTCAGTTCTCGCAGACGAGCAAATCCTCGCGAGGGGCGCACAAAGGCGGATGCAGGGAGGGTAGGCAGCGGCGTGCTTCTCTGGAATGTCGAAGAAGTCATTGTCGAAGCCTGAATCTCTAGATTTCCGCCCTCGACAACACTGGCAACACCGGCTGGAATGACAGCCAACGGCCCGGCCTAAGATGTCCTTGGTTTTAGCACACATTCAAGAACTGTCAGAAACATGTGGAAACAGTTTCGGCAAATCCCCCGGCGAGCAAGCAGGAAGATGCCGCAACATGTGACAGAAGCGAGCGCTGTCTTCGGCATGTCTGTGTTATAACACACAGAAATGATCCAAGAATTGGCTGAGTGGCGGCTAACGGCCAAAACATCCCTGACCGCCATCTGCTGCTTGGACTACATCGAGCGCTGGTTGCATCACTCGTGCCCATGCGAGGATGCCGTGTGAGCGCTCTCCGTTGGCTGGCCGGACTCTGCTTGCAGGCAAGAATCGTTGTCTAAGAGGAGCCCAGCATGCTTCGTGTAGGACTTAGGCACCGGGCTCCTTGCAGGCTGCCAGGCACTGCCAAGCGACCCGGTTTGTTTCTGACTGCAGCCGGCACGCGCTTCCGGATTGTCTGTGTAGTACAGGCTGACATCCCATCGCAGAAGGGGAATTTCAATGAATGTGTCCGTTTGTGCACCTTGAATGCAAAGATGGAGAAACGGATACGTGAGTGTATATTTGCGGCACAAACAACCGTCTGAATGTTCACCACGGCTCTGTACATTATGTAGTTCTGGTCGAGGCTGTCCACACTGGCAGGCAGCTTACAAGCCGCACTCATGATGTTCACCTGGTCTGCGATGGGCATAAGTTGACCTCGACGTTCGTGTATTGAATTTTGTTGCACTGCCCCTAAACAGGACACATAGTCTGCGCCTTGGACCCTCGGCACTCCATAGAGATCTTGCAGACCTTCATAGTCGCCTCGGCTTTTCGACTCTGGCTGGAGCCAAGCACGGCAAGCTGCCACCCGGCCATCAAGACCCTCGAGAGCGACCTGCGATGGGGGGAATGCGGGAGGGCAGGAGGCACCAGGAATATTGCAAAATGCATCTAGCTACGCGCTAGCTGCGCTAGCCGCTAGCTTGTAGCGACATGGCCACGCAGCAGACAGGACCGCACGATCATGCATGGAGGCGATGAGGGCCCGCAACATCCTAGAGACAGTAATGCCAGGTCCCGGTTTCCATAGCCCCCTAGCCTGGTCCTGTGTGGACACCACCCAGCCCTGCAGCGCAACGTCGTGGCCGGATTGGACCTGTAGGCAGCTGTCACCAGACAAAGCCGAGAGTAAGCGTTGACAGGCTGGCGTAGGCGTAGGATAGCTCGTCGCTGCGGAAGAGAACGAGGGTGTCTGCCGACCTGGGCCGCACTGACCAGAAGAAAGACTGACACAGTCGCTTGGATCTCAGGAGCTGGCACTGGCACCTTGAGTGCCGTCTTGGCACCATGAGGATACAACTCCAAGCAGCCCCTTTGTGCCTGCAGTGCAGGAGCAGAGTCGGAGCATTTGATCTGAATCGCTGCGGCCTCGAGTACGTAGAGGACACAGAGCCGGCGAGTCCGAAGGAAGCCCACGTACTGCTCCACCAATCCCCGCTCCACCTCCCAAGATCTGCCAAGCGCATGCCTTTTGCAAGCTTCTCGTTGGGCAGCGAGCAGACGAGGACGAGCCTCTTCGTCCGAGAGAGGCCCGGGGCCCAGGGAACTCCGTTCACCACGGGCGAGGGGCTCTCGCAGAAGCAGCTGCTGCAACTGCGGCAAGGGCTCGAAGCCTCCGGTGTCACACGAGAGGAGGACCACTACTATTATACTAATTACTCAAAGACTGACGAACCTGCCCGGCCTAGCTCCCGTCCCATCCGAAGTGCTACGGCATCCGCCAAGTTTGACATGGTGTCAATGCAGCCTGTAGAGTGTGAGAAGCTGGTCTCTTCCGTGTGGGACGACTCCGACTCGCCTTTGAGAGGCTCCTCGGGTGGCTCCTCGGCGAGGAAAGCGACTTTGCTCCGAGATCTGCGTCCGAGAAATCCCTCCTCACACAGCTTTTTAAGGGCAGACACGCACACTCACCGTGCGCCGTGCGCCGTGCATGCTCGCCGTTGCGTGGCCTCGAGCTCCATGTGGGGCAGGGCGAAGCTGGCTTTGCGCCTACGGCTGACCCGGTAAGGAGACCCGGACCACCCCCCCGTTGCGGCCAACTCAAGACGCCTGGCCATGTCCACAACCATGCTGCGCTGCTCCAAAACGGGAGCCCGCACTTTGCAGTAGCCGCGCCTCATGGCACGTGACCGCAGGAAAGCTACCCGGCCTCAAGCCTACCACAGGAAAAATAAGCCCAGGCTCTGCAAAAGGATCGAGACGACTTCATCTGCGAAATCCTTGACAGCCACAGCTTCTGGTCTAACATCACGAATTGTGCTGCATCCGCCGTTGATTCGCTGAAGCCCTGGCGGTGGAGATGTCCCCGGGCCAGAGAACCTCTGCGAGCTCCGCAGGCTTGGACATGGCGCCGGGCAGGGACTGACTGCAGTGGTTCTTGAATATTGAGGCGTGGGTGCGTGGGTGTGGGTTTCGGACGTGTGGTTCTGAAGGCGGGCTTTGACTTCGAATCATACACGTATTTGCATCTTATTTGCGCTGAGTAACTTAACATTTTGGCATTTTGGATTGTTCTCTTCGGCCCAGTCTACGTTCGCGAGCACGCTGCGGTGGCCAAGCATCACGATACTGTCAGTTACTGCCCTGCTGACCAACAATCGCGTAACAGACTTGACCCAAATTTGCATGAGCAGCTTGCAACCACTTTCAGCACCTATGTCATGTGTGGCACGAACAACATCCCTGCAGGCTGTTGTTGCGTGTGACGGGTGCAATGCCTGCATCGCCAGCACACGAGGTGGCTTGCCTGCAATATTGACGATGATTCCACTTTGCGCGTGTGCAGGCATTCCTTGCTAGCAGCGGATGATCCAAGACGGGTGCCAGGCGAATCGAACACAGGCGGCAACTAACAAACCAGGCTCAGAAAACAACGAATCAGAAGCCCGCTTTGGCAAGCACACGAAACACAACGATAACTTTCATCTAAACGAATTAAGCGAACCCACCCTCACCCAACCTCAGCAAACCCACCCTGGTCAAGCCTGACCTAACCGAGAAGCAGGGTTTGGATAGGGACTGCAAACTTAATCTTGGCTAACCTATCCGAAGATGTCGCTTTTCACTTGTTGGGCTGAGAGGCATCTCCGGAAGGACTATGACGACTCATCCGACACCCCATTCAATGCACTCAGGGTGTTGAGGATCTACAAGTTTGGGCTTATAGGACTTAGAATTTGCTGCGAAAGGTTCCCGCATCTTCAGTTTTCTTTCCATATCTAAAGCTGTTGGGCTCTGCCAGGACCAGTGTGGCCTGAGTGCACTCCAAATGCCAGTAGCATTCCGTTTATTCGAATTCCACGCCCCCCCCCCCCCCCCACCCGATTCGGAGCTTTGCTTCTGAAAATTTTGAAAAATGCTCAGCAAGTCCGTGGGCAGCGAGTGCTGCACAGTCCACTCAGGACATGTGTTGGTACTGTCTTTCTGGGCAAAGCTTGCGTGGCTTTGTTCTGGTTTGGCGCGCGGTTGTGCTGGCCGACGTTGCGCTCCAATTTTTGAACGGAACATATTTTAAGGGAGATAGAAATGAAAGAAAAGCCACGAGACAAATCCACAAGAGCTACAAGGCTGCTGTTACAAGGCTTGAAGGAAACCGGCGTTACCCCGTGTCCCACTATCCAAAACAACATGTTCGCAAGAGGGTTCTGCGAGTATACTGACGATTCCATGCAGAAATGCAGGTTGAAATTGCACTGCGCTCTCAGTGGAGCCGAGGGCCTGGCTTGTTAGATCGATCGCACGCGACAATGCGCAACACGCAGCCGTGCTGATTTTCTGCCACTGAGCACGCTGCCCGAATGCAGAAGTGAGACAGAACGCACAAGCGACGACGAGCTACGACGCCTGCGAGTGCAGGGCAGAGAATATTTGTCTCGGCGGATCTCAGTCGAAGGACTCCCTCCGTGACCGTGCCGCCAGTGACCTATCAGCACATCAGGGTCGCGACGAGGACGCGTGGGGGGACGCCCGATGCGTCAGCTATGCGTCGAGGCACTGTGCAGTGCTGGACATGCAGTGGCCAGCCGGTGGAGAAACCTCCGTGGGTCACAAAGCTCAGAAGGAACTAAGGAACCCCTTGTCTTGTGCCCTGTGCACCTTTCCACAGGTTCCTGAGAGACACGAAGGATCATGAAGCGGCATCAGCTGAGGCGACGCTGAAAAACTGCTGCGGCCCAGGCCCAGCCGGCTTTCGTAGTCCAGCTGGCGCTTAAACCTGGGCAAAGCGCGCAGCGAAAGCGGAAGCGCTCCCGTGTTCGGAGCAGCGCCGTTTGGAGTCTTCGGATTTTGACTTTGCGCCAAGAGGCCACTCGCAGTACTGTACCAGCTGCAGAGCTTGGAAGCGCTCTGCTTCCAAGAGGAAGACTGGCACAGAGATAAAGTAGCGTTTCGGGTGTCAGAAACGAGGCCTCGAGGCCTTCGACGTTCTCGAGATCCACCAGGGCACTCAGGTGTTTTTCGCAGGTCTGCTTCACCTTTCAGAGACCAAAGAGACCCAAGTCGCTCCCTGCTGCGAATCGAGTTCCAAACGCAGTCCACGCAGAACTGGTCCGCGGCCCTCAGGAGGCCCATCAGGAAGCACACCTCGAGCGGCCAAGTGGAGGCCGCTTGAATTCGCTTTGCTTTGGTCCTTTGGCGTCCTTTGGCCCTTGCATCGGTTTGCTGAGCCTCGGAAACATGGAGCCTGCCGATGTACCTCATACGGTCAGGGTCAGCTAGGTGCATCAAGCCTCAAACCATCTTAGAGCCATGGTCGCCCTCCGAGAGGGCACAGAAACTCCAGCAGTGAGTGGAAAGTCTCGTAGGACATGTCCTCGATCAGGATCTCAGGCTCGAAGCTCTCGCGCATGCCACAAGCAAACCTGCAGGATTGCCGGACTCTTAAGGATCTTGTCTGCGAAACCTGCCCCGCTGAGGCAGGAACGCTCGCCGGAAATAGTCGGAGAAGAGCGTCAGCAGTATGCCTCGTTCCCAAAAAGCTCGAGGCCAGCACTCACGGCTCTGATGCCACCGAGACATGATGACTGAATCTCTTCCTCTCCCATTCTCACGTCATGCGCCATGCTTCAGAGGATAAAATGGGCAGCGCCTGCAGCACCCGGCGGCCCGTATCGGCCCATCAATTCTGAGCATCCAGCGATGTGCGAAGATCCGCCGACCTTGCATCACTCAGACGTTCTGTGCGACTTGTCAATGGCAACTCCAAGTAAGGTCACGCCTTCCACTACAAAGCTCACGTCCGAGAACTCCTGCTTGTTCAGGTACTCGCTCATGACCTCACATGTCCGGGCAGAAATACGGGGGCCAAGCGGTTCTTGGACCTGACCGGCATTCAGCGACTCCAGACCTTCCTTGTGGGCTCCGGGCTCTTCTAACCGAATCCGCACAGACCGGAGGCGCCGCCACTTCGATGACGGGAGGCGCATCGGTGTCCAGGATGTACCACTTCCCCTTCCCGTAGTACCTCTCCATGAAAGACTAGAATGGATCGATCAAGAATGCCCGGCACCAAAGGACGCACTGTGTCCCGCAGGCCCCGCCGCTGATGAAGAGCCGGCGGTCCACGACCACTGCCACGTGCCCGGCCCTTCCTTACAGAAAGAGACCACACATGCTGACAGAATTGACAAGAGACAGGAGCCCAGCATTGCAAGAGCTGGGGCCTCTGCGCGCCGGGCCGATGCCTCAGAGAAGGGTCGAGGCGGGTCGCTTTCGATCCACTCCACTCGTCGGATGGCAGAGCGAGGGCTTCCCGCCAGGGACTCCCCCCCGAGATGCAGGCGCTCGACGCTCTCGGAGGGCGACTGGACACAAAGAAACCAAGCCTCCGCCCCCCACACACACGCTTGCGCCCTGCCCGCTTGCCCGGGCCCTGCCGAGCAAGCTCTAACTGCAGATCCAACCTGCTCTTCTGGGTCGTAGACGTGCACATCCTTTGTTCACGGGCTGTCGCTCGGTCGCTAACCTAAGTCCGAGGCTCCGGCGTTGAAACAGCGAGTGGTGTGGCCCGAGCCACCGAACAAGTACAAGCCTCAAACACATGGACGCCCCGAAACGTTACATGCTCGTCCCTTGAATGATGCGAGCGCCCGGCAATCCCGGATAATGGAGAGCGTCATCCCAGCGCGGGCCTGTTTTTGGCAGCCCCCAATATGCTGATTGATGCAGCAAAAGCTTCGATCGGCCAGTGGCCTGTGGCGCATAGCCCGTCGGCTTGAGCATTGTCCACACGCTGTCTCTGTTATCCTCGCCCATCAAGTGCTCCACTCCACTGGCAATGCTCTCACTGTCACGAAAACGAAACTGGGCATGCTGCCAGCACGTAGAGATCGTTCAATCGCTTGGTGCCATCCCAGCCACCGAAGATGTAAAGCCTGCACGTTCACAGCGCTTTCGCTCTGCCAAGGCGGGAGATGTGGCGGCCTGTAATCGTCCACTGCCGAGGCGTGATTAGCCCTGGGAGGCGGCTGCTCACCCGAGGTCTTCACAGAAAACCTGCCGAAGCTTCACATTAGACACGCAGAAGCGCTCCAGCCCAACTCTGAGGCTCACGCCAGCTGTTGCTATCCAGATCCAAGCCATGCAGATCATTCAAATACCTGCATGTCACAGAATCATAGAGGATGGGCCCGCGAATGTCCGCGATGGAGGAGGCGCTGGGCGCCCGGACGCACGACCGTCGCCACCCCGAAAGACCAGGAGCTTGCGGGCAACCAGGTCGGCAGTGTGCATGTTGCAAGGCCCAGGCCTCGATGCCAAGCGAAGGCATGCGAAGGCCACAGAGGATGCCGCATGCCGCGCTGGGCTTCTCGCGGCTCGCCGGTGAAGCGTGGAGGCACCCACTTCAAGGGTTCCAAGTTCAGCAAATGCATGTCGCCTGGAGGACACGCGACACGGCGCGACATGCGACACGCGAATCCAGCACGTGATCGACGACGCGGCACAGCAGAGCCCTTCGGGGGATCGTGTACGAGAGCGGGGTGAGGGCACGAGGCCCGAGGAAACGGAAAGGTACGATGGGGTGGCCTATCTCCAAGATCAGTGCGCACCCGCGTTTCTGGCGGCTCGCGTGAGGGATAACTGAGCTTACGCACTTGTTGCTACGTGCACCTGCCTGCAGCGAGTGGCCCGTTGCCCAACCAGCCGCCCAAGATCAGGATCTGTGCCCCTCCGGCTAGGAGGGTTGCTGAATGCCCGTTCCTCGTGGACAAGATAGAGCGAATTGAGTGCGGCTGAAGAAATCTTGTGCTGTCAGCGTCCTTCCACTCGGCTTCTGTCCACCCACCGACGGCTGCCTCCACCTCGGAAGGTGCTGAGTGCATGGGTGACTTCTGCATATGAAAAGGCCCAAGCTCCATAGACTGAAGGTCAAAGATGTAGAGCCTGGGTAGATTGCAAAACAAAGCGGCAGAAACGGCTCCATGCCATGCTCTCCGACTGTGACCGACTCAGGTCTTCTGCAAACCGCTTACGTGGACGCTTCCCGAGGGGACACGAGCCACATTGGCTTTCAGCCATGCTGGTGCGTTCTTATTCTTTCGTGTGATCCCATACTTCCGCCTCGCTCCCACCCTGCAACTTGGCGGCTTTTCGAGGGCTCTCTGCGCTTTGTCTCATGGAGCCCAGGAGCTCGTTGTGATTCTTCTGGCCGTCGTAGCCTCCGAAGACATAGACCTGACAGGGTGATCAGTGACGGTCGACAAGAGACGAAACAACGAGCTGTCTTTTCTTCAACCGCTGCCTCACTACCCACGGGTGTGGCCGTGTGGTTCCTGCACATCAGGTGCCCCCCTCTTCCCTTCCGCACCCAACTACTATCTAAACTCTCGGAATCTTGTTTCGGTCAGTAAAGGAGCTTTGTGGCAGAGCTGTGAAGTGAGTCCCTGACTTCGTTGACGGAATCTCCTGCACTGGAGTTGCCGTCAGGTCTCAAGCCATATGCTCACCACTTCCAGTGCAGCAAAGCGACCAAGAGCTCCAAGGGAACTGACGAATGAACGGACCAGGAAGTATGATGGCACGAAAAGACCTAGCCGGCGCAGCTGGTGTAACGGAGTTCATGGCTGTGTTGCAACTCTCACCTTCGCACAGCTGATGCCAGCATCTGCCCCGGAATCAGCGCTGCCATCTTGTAGATTCACCGACATCCTCCCGAGAAAAAGTGGTACTGCCGTCAGAGTGCACGCCTCCGAGGCACCGGCCGAGCAGTCGAAGTCCATCCGAGCGTCGATGTACAGACAAGGCAGCGAGACTATATAGGACTGGCTAGCTAAGCGGACGCAAGATCTGGGAAACTCAAAGTTGGGCTGAGCCCTCCATCACCAAGCTTCTCGCTCGGGAATACTTTCGCACAATGCAGAGAACACGATGACATTTGTTGGGGTGAGGCGCGGCTGTCGTGTTGAGTCATGCTCCATGCGGCTGAAACCATGAACGGCTCCAGAGCCACACAAAGCCTCGCCGCCTCGCATTCGAGAGTGCCGAGTGGCAGTCGCTGAATCACTGAACGAATGGTTATCTTGGTTTCTTTGCGTGCCGCTTCAATTAGGAACCACGAAATGCTTTCACATACAGGCGTTCATTGCATCTGCAAGGTCAGCTCTTTGTTGTAGGCTCCCAAATTCAGAACACCATGCGGCAGTGCGGTCACATGTGAGGGGAATGACGCTCCTTTCTGCTGCTAGTGCTGATTTGTGGGTGTCGGAGCGAACTACTCAGCAGCCTCACTAGCATTTATGTTAGCTGGAGCGTCATGCCATGCATCATCGAGTCATGTGCGGTCTTTTCGAACACACTCCCCGGAGATGCTTTCTGCGAGGCATCGAGCTGCGATGAGCTGAGTGTCGCTGCGAGCCCTCTCTCCGAATCACCTTCGGCTTCTGGCTCTTTCCCGCAGGTTAAAGGTCCTCTGAGCGCAGAGTCCCAGCGGCTTCGCTCTTTGGAAGCATGGCTTGCGCTTTAGAACCCGCCTCAAATGACTGGCGTGTAGTTGTCGAAAGCTACTGTGTGAAAGTGTCATCCGGCGCACCACCGCCAATGAGCTCCTGCGCCTCAAGCATTCATGGAACGGTTTGTCATGTCATTTCGAGAAGAAGCGGTCATCCGTGCCTCCCCGGCCCAGATCCAGGCCACCTCCTTGCGACGCGTCAGCAAGCGGAGCGGAAGCCCCCGACCTGGCAGAGCCGATTGCAGCCTGCGACAATTGCGACTTGCCGCGACGGGCCGAGGCTCTGGCGGCCTTCCACCTTGATCTCGGTGCCGTAGTCGGCCTCCCACTCTTGCTCTGTCTCTGCTCTGTCATGAGCGTCGCGGCCCGGCCCCACGTGCGCCCGCATGCGCCTCCATGATGTCCTCCGCGGCCTTCCGCAACTCCGCTGGATCGCTGTTCAGCGCTTTCCGGAACTCCTGAAAATGACCCTCTCACACAGTGTTCGAGGGTGTGACAAGCCACGCCCGTCCTCCTCCTTCTCCCTTTGCTCCTTGTGAGCCTCCCGTGCCCTGGCCAGCATCTCCTCCCGCTCGATCCGCTCCTTCTCCTATGCGACACGCGGAGTCTCAGTCTCTGTTCGCCAAGTCCAGCAGCCTCTTCCCGTGCAATGGCCTCTCTGATCGCCTTCTCCTCGGCATGCCTCTGGGCTTCTTCGGCGGCTTCCTTCGCCACCTCCGGGTTTCGACGGGGCACAAAGATGTCCAAGTCCAAGTCTTCTGATGTCTTTCAAGGCTGCACGAAGCACGCGTTTTTTACCGGCGGGCCGAAGATCACGAAGGCGCGAATGGCTGCTTCCAAGGTCTCTGGGCAGCCAGTCCTCCAAGAAAGAGCGGGAGGGAAGCCAGTCGGCATCACAACAATTCCAGTCCAAGCTTCATTCCGCGGGCCGTGAAAGAATCGTCAAGGGCACAGAGTCGAGAGGCCGTTATTAGCCGAGCAGGAGCCTCTGGTAGCGACCAAAGTGAAAGTGTCGTTTCCGCTCACTACCACTCTTCAGGCCTCGGGGGACCCACGACGCAAGTTCCGCCGCACCCAAGCCTCTCAGTGGCGCGCACGGGGACGGGGTCACGTCGACGCGTCGGCGTGTCGGAAGTCGGAACCCTCTGAGCCGCGAGCAGCCAAAGATCGAAGGAAGCTGCTGGGAAGTCGACCTGGCGACAGCGGCAAGGTCCTGCATGGGTCCTGCATGAGTCTGGGCCACTGGGCCCTTTCTCTGATCTGCCTTTGGCTGAAAGCAACTCGAAGCCTCGGGAGCTGATGGGGTTCGCCGCGGTGCTCCCACATCGTGACTTCCTCTCCGAGCAGCACTCGAAGGGATCCTCGAACTGTGCGGCGGGATCGCTGAGCACCTCGGCCAAAGCAACTCTGCCGCGGTCATGTGGGTTGTGCTACGTAGGACGCGAGGCCGCGCCTCCAATCTCTGCACGAAGCTGTCGAGCAGTGCCTCAGACTTGGTCTTGGTCATGCCGGTGTCCGTGCAAGCGTGCAGGGCCGAACAAGCCGCCTTGCTGCACAACGCTGGCGCTGCATCAACGTGAGCAAGGCTGTACTGCTGTGGATTCTGTGGATAGGTGCGCCGGGTCGGAATCAGCGCAGAAACGCAGGGCAGAGCGGTTCAGCTTCCCACTTCTTCGGCTAGCGGGCTCCTCAAGAGCCACGCAGGCAGGACCTCGGGTCATGCGAAGCCAGAAAGCATCTTGCAACTCCCACCATCCCTGGGGCCTCCAAGGTGCCTTCCAGGAGCTCGCGAAGCCTCTGAGGAGTCTAGCAGCGTCTAGCATAGCACAGATTCCACGGATTTACTCCTCCGAGTCCGAGGCAAAGCACGGAGTGGTGCCTGTCGAGACAGGGACGCGGGACTCGGGCCGGGAAGGAGTACCAAGGCATCTGGCCTCCTGCAGGAAAAGGCTGCGCTGCTGCCTCGCCGCATACGCCGAACAAGAGGACAAGCTCTGAAAGCTCAGGCTGAGGCCTGAGGAGCTCGGAGAGAGCTCCCGGCATGCCACAGCTCAGCACATCGAAAGCTAGCTCCTGAGTCCAAGACGAGTGAGGCTGCGAGGCTCAGGCCTAAGGCCAAAAGCAGCACTAGGTCACTAGGCTGAAGCGGTCAAAAAAAAGCGATTCAGCACGCCATCGGACTGCCGGCAAAAGTGCCTGCACCCAATGTGTGCGTGTTCTGAGCACGTGCCGAGGTGCGACGGAGACGAGGTCATGATAGCTTAGGCCTTTGGCTCGGGACAGCCACAGTTGACCAAAACATCCCAAAAAGACCCGAGCTGCCTCGGAGCTGTGGAGTGAGAGTCGCCAAAGTGGCACTGAGCCGTTGGTTGGCTGGCAGCCACACAGGTGCGCTCGCAGCCGCCAAACCGGCGAGCACTCGGACGAAGCCCCGTGGCTCGCGGGCACCTTTGTTGGCAGGGCCCTTTCGTTCGCACGGAGCGCTCCAATACTGTTCAAGAGAGGGCACACTCTAGCAAACGCAGCTCCAGTTCCTGGAGCGCTGGCCCGACGTGGCGCCTCAATCACATGTGCAGGGCATCGCGCAGGATTCGCTCTTTCAGTGACAGGCGCTCCTGTTGGGGGCTTCGGCGTATCGCCGACCTTGTGGATTTGCAGCATAGCTGGTCCCGGATGCGTACGGATGGGCTCGAGGCGAAGCAGTGCCATGGCCTCCAGTGCCTCCTCCAAAGCCATGGCCTCATGTAAGCGCCACACAAGATAGGGCAGGTCAACTGCAGAGTGTGTCGATTGGAGAAGGGCACCAGGCATTTGCAAGGACCGCAATGCGCTCTGCTAGGGCCTCCGCTCAATTCGACAAGGAAGCTATGCCGCATGCACAAGCCCGCGGCGAAGGCTTCACTCTGAGATCCCCACAGACACCACGCTGGGGTCTTCAGCATTCTGCCGATCCAGTGCCGCAAGAATGACCAAGGCATCCTGCCATCGTACATAATCATCTGCAAGCGAATGCTAATGACACAATGCAACTAAAATACGTAATGCATATATACATGTGTATGTATATATATATATATGTATATATACACACACGTGGGTCGACAGGAATCTGAACACTGTTTTTGGTGCTTGCAGCTGTTGTGACTCCAGCATCTCCGCAAAATAGATATGCATGAGGGCTTGCTGGATTGCCGTTGCTTGAACTATGGTCCTCATCAGAGCAATGCTAAACTCTTTGAGCTGTCGGGGCAGCTTCTTTTCCGGAAGATATATCCAGAGCATCTTGATGTCAAACACACCTGTCCTATCTTAAACAAATGCTGATACACTCCCATGCTACATTTACATGCTCCTTGCTCTTGGAATTCGTACACGTCACAGCGGGTGTGCGGCAGAATGAACGCTCCCTGACTCCAGGGTAGTTGCCACGTGTTATCTGCTACAACCGCTTGTAAGGACCTAGTTGTGCCTTCCGTTCTGAAACCAGACCGACAGAACTGTGCAAAATCAAGTGTGGATGTCCGTCCATGCATCACAGCCTCTAAACACAAGACATCCCAAACCCTGAAACCCTCAACATCCCTATCGGCCCAATCACGGGCTCCTGGGTCGGCAGACGGCGAGCCCACAAAAGGGCCGCCTCGGCGAGCTCGACCAAATTCTCTGGCGCAACGGCTTCGCCTGCTGTGCATGACATGCGTTCACATCATCCGGAGAATATGGGCCTGTTGTGGGGCTTCTCTCGTCTTCCGCTCTCTCTCTCTTTGCTTTCAGCTCCCTCTCTTTCTCCCTCGCTCTGTCTGTCTGTCTACCTATTTATAGTTATATAGATCTAGATATGTGCATATGTATATATATATATATATATACATATGTGGGTTGAACCTTTACGTTTTCTTTGACAACCACCTCATGCCCAGCGTGAATATGAAGCACAATTCAAAGAACTCTTATACAAACCTTACAGGAACCTTGATGACACGTTCTATTGAAGTGTGAGATTGGTTTCGTAGTCCTTGGAAGACACAGGATCCGGAGCTCACGTCGAACCTGAACGTGTTGACTGACACGTTCTCTTGCACAGGTTGCTTCTCTACATTGGTCGACAATTCATATATACCGAAAACACCGTAAATACCGATACAATCGTGCTTTACCTCATGTGCATGCAAGCCGTGCTGCTGCAAGGCGCGGGTTTGA